TTGTCATCAATATTACTAGGCTTAATTTCAAAAGCGTGCAATTTGTATTTTTCATTGAGTTTAAAAGCTTTCCTGTCGACGTTTTAATTATAAATGAAATCGTAAGGACTTGGTAATTAAATTTTTACGAAGGAGGATTTTAATCGGAAAATAGTTTTAATTTAATTAGAACCATCGGTAGTTGCATTACCGACCTTCAAAAACTATCTATCGATAGTGCTCGAACTCTAGACTGAAGAAATGGTTTCGCACAGTGGGACAAACATTTCCATACAACAGTTCCCAATTGAATGGGGGTATTACTAAATCCCTGGTTGAGCGGGATTCCGTATTGTACTTAGTTTTGGGTCAGCTAACGTCCCCCAAAAATCAAAATGTTTTCCCTCCGCCCGGTGACAAAATTTCGGGAAGAGCCTAAACCATCAGAGAGATTACCATCCGGGGTAAAAATTCTTATCCACCAAACACAGGTAATGCTGTGCAGTTGCGGTATACTTATGAGAACTGAAAGATGGTAAAAATAACTCTGGGAGATCAGTGTAAGGCGATGCCGATGGGGCCAGTCATTCGTTTTATACTAATACTCATACTAAAATAGTTTTAATTTATTTAGAAGTTAAAAAAACATATTCAGCGTGATACGATAAGTATACAGTACAGAGTGGTAACAACTGGTCACTATCTGTGAGTCATTTTGGCGTGGCGTGAAAGTTGAAGTAAAGAGGGTTGATTGGGGGGGAAGTTGGGGAGGAGGCAGAAGGCTTAGTGGCGGCAAGGGGGCGCGGGAAAGCGAGGGGCAAAGGCGGCGGCCTCAGAGAAATATTTTGGGCGATAAATCACCCTTATAGCTGCATGCCGTAGCTGTTAGCTTGTCGCCCTATTGTCGCTATTATTAAATTGATATGCAGAATAGAACGCGTTTCTTACACTAGGAAAATATGACGAAAACGTAGACGCATCTTCTACTGCGGTGTTTGTTGAATACTGCAGTAGGAGATGCAATAATACTTTCGATGCATTACATATACTTTATACGTGAGTGAATTTCGGTTTTTTGTATTAACAGAGTATTGGTTGTATATAATACAGTGTGGCACCCAGAACTAAATCCATTTTAAATAATCAGTTATAAACAATTCTCAGTATACTGAGAATTGTTTAAAATGATCCAAAACTATCAAAAATCACCCAAACTAAATAAGAAGTTTCTAATATTTTTAAAACTATCTAAAATTACCCAAAATATATAAAACTGCCAAAAATGTATAATTATCTATTTTGCAAAAATTCTATAAAAAAATTAATTTTATACCTTAAATTTACTTTGGTCGAATTTTACTTTAGATAGTTGGTATCACAGTCATTGGTTTGACAGTTAATGTCAAAATCGATTCGCCATGCCGTCCTTAATTTACTTATTTACAATAAGCGGCTGTTAATGTTAAAGAAGAAAAAAATATTTTCTTTGGTGTTAAACAAAATTTATTGCCAGAAAAGTCTCGTTAGTACTAGAAAAATCATAAAAATATTATAACCAATATGCAAAATATTATGCTGTTTAAAGTATAGCCAACCTATAAAATCAAAATTTTGGGTGGGATAAAGTATCTTTAAAGCACCGAAAACAGTGTTATAATGAAGTCATTATGAACGCAAAATAGATAAAATACAGTAAAGCACCCATAATTAAAATCAGTTACCTAATAAGAATTGTTTAAATTGATGTAAATCACCCAAACTATAAGAAGTGTCTAAAATAACTCAAATTGTATTACAACTGTCTAAAAATAACCTAAAACAGTTTAAATTTATATTTATAAAACGAAAAAGTGCATAATTATCTTAAACCTATATAAAAATGTCCTTAAAACGTTATACCGACAGTCTGTTTCGTTTTTTGGTGTTCATCAGTGCCGGTCAGTCATGCGGTGTGGAGCGCACTTTGAAACACACTGCCACAACGTTATAAAGCAATCGGATACAGCAACAGCGGTGAGCGCAAGGTAATCAGCTCCATTATCGTACAAAACTGTCAAAAATATATTTTTAGAATTGCAAACTTATTAAAAAGTGTGCCAGAAGTAAAAAAATTAACTGTATTAAAATAAGGTTTATAAAATAAAAAAGTGCATTACTATTTTTTTAACTGTACAAGTGTACAATGATGTATATATGTCTGAAAGTTGCTGTGATGTATGAAACAAATTTATTGAAAAATTCGGCTTTATTTTAAATCCTTGATATTTGATCTCTATCTCTCTCTCTCAAATTTCAGTAAAAATACATAGGATTTATTCTGGCAATGAGATAAATAAGGTGGCCATTAATCTTGGGCGATTTCTTACTTGGGTTATTAAAAAAAACTATAAATTTGAAAATATGAACTTTTATTAGCGCTTTTAAGCTTCACTTAATTTCATTAAAGCATAGTCGCGCAGCTGTTTAATGCAATATTTCTTCCGTGCGAGATTAAATAAAATTCTCGGATACGTAACCATTGTAATAATTAAATTAGGCGAGGGGCAGAATAATCAACTATTAGCTGATAGAGTAAATCCTAAAAGATAGTGGTGCGGTTTGAATGAAATGATGATTAATGATCATGGTGTCGAATTGAAATGATCCCCTTGCCGCCCCTGTAAGACGCGTCAAATGCCGTCGGGTCAGCGCACCCTGCTTTTAATAATTTATTCTTTAATATCAAAAACAGGCAGTTATTATAAAACGAAACAGTTTGTACAGTCTATGAAAGAGAAGGCTAAAAGTTGTTGTGAATAATAGGGTAGAATGGGGCTCTGTTAAAACATAGTGTACTTTAAATAACCCTTTTAGGGTTACTTTGGGATACTGTATAATTTTATTTGTCATTAAAATTCTTCTAAATTTAATTAAAACATTTTAGCGACACCGGCAAAATCACCAAGCATAAATTTATATAATTTAATGGGAATCATCTTTATTAACAAAAAATTAATTAAATATTTAATTGGGCAAAATATAATTTTTATTAAACTAAAATGCTGTTCATTTACCTACTTCAAAAGATTGTTCAAGCATCTAGATAAACAACATACGTGTGTACAGTAGTTATAGCGTGTTAAACGAGTTAAGCCAAATAAAGGCTAATCCATCAAAGTCAAAAGAAATCTTAACATCAAAATGAAACAGTTTTGCTGCCTCGAAAAATTAACAGGAAAATTCTGATACCATGTTTACTTTTTAAGAAAAACTTATTATGTTTTAAACGAAGTTTGTTTATAATTTAATATACGAGGTGTGTTCAGAAAATAACGGGAATTTTTAAATTTCGCGGGTTCGGAGGGTCATAAAATTTTCTTTATTATGTTAGTCTACATGCCCCCGAAGTATGATAAAAACTTTAGCTGTTTTCATTGTTTACTTTGTCTGTGGCAGCCGCTAAGGTTAGACGTGTTTTATGAGCTCGGCGATTTTTCGTTCGTTAAAAAAAATGGATCAAAAAATTTGTATCCAATTTTGCTTAAAAAATGAAATAAATTCTGTGAAATGTTAACAAAGGCCTATAGTGAGTCTGCTATAAATAAAACAAGAGTTTACAAGTGGTATAAGAGTTTCCAAGATGACCGTGAAGACGTTGAAGATGACGAACGCCCCGAACGCACAAGCACATTATAAACCATCAGAGAAGTCGCTGATGATGTTGGTATATCGATTGGCTCATCCCATGAATTTTTTTCGAATGTTTTGGGTATGAAACGCCTGGCAGCAAAATTTGTTCTAAAATTGTTAAATTTTGAACAACATTTTTGGCCAAAAACAACACTGTAATGATGCCCCAGCCTCCATATTCGCCAGACATGCCTCTGCTTGACTTTTTCCTATTCCCAAAAATTAAGAGAACCTTAAAGGGCTGTCGTTTTGCAAGCATAGATGATATTAAAAGCGCATCGCTGAAAGAACTGAAGGCTATCCCAAAGATCGGATTTTAGAAGTGTTTCGAGTATTGGAAGAAGAGCTGGCACATGTGCATATATGCATAATATCCAATGGGGACTATTTTGAAAATTCCCGATATTTTTTGAACACACCCGTATATATATACATATATAGTTCTTTCAGCGAAATTCCTTGACCAACATCGAAGAATGGAATTTTTATCTTAAAAAACTAGATCATATTTAAATGCTTATAATATATTATATTTCGTTTTATTGCCATAAACTCCTACGATACTGACTCGCCGAGCTCCAGCAATGCAATGCTGTTGGAACTCCCCTTCCAAATCCGAATTTTGTCGTATGTAGCAAATTTTTAGAACGAAACGATCAAACATCCACATCTGATTTTGACTGAACAAACGTTACCAAGCAGCATATTTTGTTAGATAAAAACTAATGAATACAGGAGGAGGAAGTAAGAACAAACGTTGAGTTATTTAAAATAATATAAGATAATTAGCTTCATAGGCAAATATGAAGCTGGGAATCAAATAATTATTAGAGCTGGGATATCGGTTGTCTCCCTTTCATTTGCATAGCATGGCACGTATGAGATTTTGCTTTCGCTTTCGCCATTCCTACAATTGTTTAATAATTATGAAACTGGTGTTGCTAATAGCTCGTGGCAATTACCGAATGCTGCCGCCGTTTGCCTCGCTGATCCCAAACGAAAATGCACCGAACGCACTGTTTTGCCATTTTGTGCCACACTTTGCACAGCTGGCTTAGAGCATAAAGCTCGATTTTTTAAAATTATGTAATTGAATTTAAAGCAATGCCTTTTCTTCGTCTCTCCCTTTCCGCCCCAATCCTCTGAACCGATATTTTATAACGCTGTATTAACTTTTATTAAATAAACGACCCTATTACCTACAGACATTCTTATTTTTATTGGCAACAAAAATAAAATTTTCCGCAAACTCCCATGTTACTAATTAGCCTTTACTCGTAGGAGCTTTAGAAATGTTTAATTAATTAAATTTAATGGTTTAAAATTAATGTGTTATTGTTATTTAATTTCAGATTAAACACCCATTCAAAACCCATCTACACCACTATATAATTCTGGTAAGTACCTCTAAATTTATTTATAAAACAAGTCATGTCTTTTAACTATTTTTTAAATAATTTGAATATGATCTTTTATTCAAATGGCGTTTAAATGATAGATAACATCTTTTAAAAGATTTTGTATGTTTAATAATTCTTTAGATATATTTGTCTAGGACTAAAGAATTAATGCTGGACAACATTAAATGTATAATGTTTAAATTTTATAAATTATCCCGGCGCATTCGCCATTTTTGCAACAATATTAAAACTTTGATTATAATAGCAAAACTTAGCCAAATCCAACTAACAAAGATATTGTTATGAAATATTAACACCATATTTTTGTAATATTAATCTTGATCCTGTGCAAGTTTTAATTCAATTGCCTCAGTGGCGGCGGTTTTATGATTAAAATTTTGTTAAAGTAAGTTAAAAATTTAATTATTTTAGAAACTATTTATACTATCATTATGAAATTTTAAGAAAGGTTTTATGTACTAATAATTTTAATTCTTCACAAATTTTAATTTAATTAAATCAGTAGCGGCGATTTTATAAGGGTTAAAATGATTAAAGTAAGTTGAAAATTAAATTATGAAATTTTAACATACGATCCTTTGTACATCTTGAAACAATTTTTACAAAATATTAAGAAAATCTTTAATAATAAAACCATCACACCAAACTGACCAAGAACCTTCAGGTTGGTTCAGCCATTTTGGAAAACAAACAATACTATTTAAAATAATAAAACTAATCAGCATGAATAGCAGTCTTTTTTGTAATTTTTTAAAATCTGATACAAAAAAACTACCAAAAACATACACATTCCATTAAGGATTTAAATTATTCAATAATGCCAAAATATTTCGCAAAAAAAATTCAAAATAATAAAAGACTTAAAAAAATAGACTCATGGGATATATGTTCTGCTTTTAATTTAAAAAGCAGTGTTTTGATTATTGTTGCTTTTTTAGTTTATTATACTTTTGTTAGAATATTTTGTAATGTTTTAATTTGATATTTACAACGAGAAATTGGAATAAATAGTTATAAAAATTACACTAGGCAACAAATTTTAACTTAAAAAAAAGGTCCTGGTTAAAAATAGAATTTTTCGATACTTTATGACTGAAATAGATCCAAAATGTTTTTAAAAAAAATTTCTGAAGTCGTAAATAAAAAATAGGAGCACAGTATTATGGTACCATTTATTGCATAGATACATCATTTGAAAATTTTAGGATGACGTTACTTTTAACTTATATATTATAAGACATGTTTTTTTGATGTTTACTGTTTTTTATCGTTCAAATTATTTTGTTTATTTATTTTTATCGTTATTATTTAACAATTTTTCTTTGTATCATGGTGCTGCCCGTATCGTCTAAACGAGACTTTGGAAAATTTTTTGGTCGCCGGATTTGCGTCGAGCAGGTAAAAATCTATAGGACTGTGCTATTGTTATTACCGACCTTTTTTATTTACTAATTTTTATCGTTATTATTTAACAATTTTTCTTTGTATCATGGTGCTGCCCGTATCGTCTAAACGAGACCTTGGAAAATTTTTTGGTCGCCGGATTTTTGTCGAGCAGGTCAAAATCTATAGGAGTGTGCTATTTTTATTACCGACCTTTTTTATTTACTAATTTTTATCGTTATTATTTAATAATTTTTCTTTGTATCATGGTCCTGCCCGTATCGTCTAAACGAGACTTCGGAAAATTTTTTGGGCGCCGGATTTGCGTCGAGCAGGTCAAAATCTATAGGAGTGTGCTATTTTTATTACCGACCTTTTTTATTTACTAATTTTTATCATTATTTAACAATTTTTCTTTGTATCATGGTCCTGCCCGTATCGTCTAAACGAGACTTCGGAAAATTTTTTGGGCGCCGGATTTGCGTCGAGCAGGTCAAAATCTATAGGACTGAGCTATTTTTATTACCGACCTTTTTTTATTGTTTACTAGTGTTATTTTGAGTATTTTTTAAAAATGAAACTATTAAAAAGTATTTTTTTAGTACTGTTAAATGCCAATTTTTAAAAGCCTTTTAATGAGGTATAACAAAGAGAGTTGCCATTTAAAAAAATTGAGTTGGGGTGGCTAGCATAGCTCGTATTTAAATACATAAATTTATGTAAATAAATTATTACATTAATTTACCGCAAAATTAGTATCGGTGCATTCGCCATTTTTGTAAAAACGGTTTCCTTTTAGAGATCTCCGAACATATGTATTTATAATGAAATGTATACAGGGTGTCACCAAAAAAGTTGTCATCCTTTAAGGAAAAAATAAGAAAATTTTTCCTCTAAATTTTTTGCATTAGTGCCCTTTTTTAAAATAAAAATATCATTAAAATTTTTATAAGTAGAAATTTTGGGCCGCCACTGGTTGTTCCTGACCTATGACAACTGACGCAAAATATGCTTGCACAGTGAGCAATAATCTACATTCATTAAAAATTTGATTAATCATTGATTACTTTGTTACACGGTGTCCCTATACTTAGTGGCATAAATTTAGGAGCAGATTAAGCAAGTCAAATTAAGACGAAAATCTAAATAAATATTTTTCCTAATTACGTATTTTTAAAAGATACAGGGTGATAAAGTGTTACTTATCATATCAGTTTTTTAATATAACTTCTACTATGGTAGACTTGGAAAGGTGATATTTTGCGAACAGTCACTTACTAGCAAAACACATATTCACACATAATTACAATTGTTCAAGTGAACACAGTGTAGTAGAAACAGCTTATTGTCTCATAAAAACTTTGAGGTTAGGTTTTTATACCATTTGATTTTTCGATTACTCAGTTCAGCTCCTATTAAAAAGGTGTACCTATCAAACTTCGATAAAATAAACCATTTCCGATATATTCGAGATTACAATAATTTTTATATCGCATTAAAGGACTAAAAGGTATATGATAACAAATTTTTTAATTGAAAAAACTACAATTTATTTTAATGTGACGGTCAGTGCAAATAAAATTTGTTATCATATACCTTTTAATCCTTTTAAATAATGCGATAAAACAATTATTGTAACGGTTTATTTTATAGAAATTTGAGAGGTACACCTTTTTAATGGTAGCCAAATTGTGTAATCGAAAAATTGCATCATGTTACAAAAATCTAACCTCAAATTTTTATGGGACAATAAGCTTAAAGCAAACCCCGTTTCTACGACACTGTGTTCACTAAAACAATTGTAATTATGTATGAATATGTGTTTTGGTAGTAAGTTACTGTTCGCAAAATATCACCCTTCCAAGACTACCATAGTAGAAGCATTCCTTACTCAATAGAAGTTATATATTAGTTACCTAATCAATTTGTTTACAGTCTAATTTTTTTTTGTCAGTCAGATAAAACATAAAAATATCATTAAAAAATAAGATTTAACAGAAACTTATATAAATTAATTTTAGAATGAAATTATATAAAATAATTGTGTAGGTTATTAAATTTTTAATTCATTAAATTCAAGGAATTTTCATTATACATCGAAAAAAAAACGATATAGCTTCTGTTTGAACACTTTAATATATAATATAAAGTCAGTTAAAATTAATGAACAGGGTAAGCGAGTATGTCAAAATCAAAAAAGGTAGAAGCTTGCATATAAAACATCTTTCAGTCTAAAAATTGTAATATGTGTCGTTTTATCTAGATGTGGAATATATTAGGCGGTCTTCTATTTATTCTTTATCTTACCGTCAAAAAATATGAAAGAAAATAGTAATAAAGGAGCGTTACCTAAATTTATTGCCACATTACGCCATATTTTTGGACAAGTTGATGGATATATCGATCTTAAATTTCACGTTTATTTCAGACTAAAATTCATATCAAAGATAGGAGTGTTTCTTAAAATTTACTTTTATAGAAAATGATCTATCCGATAATGACAGCGGTAACACAATAATAAATAAATAAATAAATAGAAAGCAATAAACCAATCAAATTGGTTTATTTCTTCTATAGCAAGTAAAGTCTCAAATTTACAAAAACACCTCCCTGTGCTTGGTTATTTAATTTTACTAACGATTTTCGCGTGACAAATTTAATCGAAAGCTGTTTTTAAAATAAATTACTTTTTTAATTAGTGCTAAGGAAATATAATTAAATTTGCTGTATAAAACAAGGTTTATTTTATTAATTTATTTTTAAATGAAAACCACAGAACGTTTAATTTAATTAATACCTCCCTACGAGTCGTTTCAAATAAAAACATCAAATGCATGCTTTTAGATTTTGATAAAAAAAAATACAAAAACCTATGAAATTGTGTTATTTTCAAACCTTTTTTTGGCATAGTCATTGAACATTAAAAAGTGACAAGTTTATTAATAGGATATATTTTAAGTTAACTAAATTATTTCATACTTTTTAGGTTTATTTCAAACCCTTTCATTTAATACTCATGTCAAATAGGTTGCGAAAAAATAGGTAATCCGCCATCTTGGGGGGTCCTCCATTTTGCATTTTTGATTGCATTTTAATTGACAACTTTTAAATTTGCAGAATATATTTCTTAAATTTAATAGTATATTATGTATCAAGTTTGATATTTTATACACGAATGCTTAAATTAATGAGTGTATAGAAAAGTTTAATGAGCGTATAGAAAAGTTTATAAACTGCATACTATACTTTTTCTACGACAAATACTTATTATTATCTTAAAATTATTTAAATCAAAAATTTCTATAGAGCGCCATCTATGAAATAATAGGGGAATCTGTGTGTCACCGTCAAATGTCAAATTTTTATATGTTATAAACACAATTATAAAGGTTATAAATCGAAATGTATTTCTTAAAAATTTACAGTTTTTCACAGTGAAAGTAAAGAAAATGTTTTATGAGCACTTTACAGTGGAGTTCGTGCCAGAATTTAAGTTATAGTTTACTGCCGGAGAAATTAAAAGGTCAGTATATAAACTTTTCAAATATTGGCGTTGAGAAACTATTTAATACTTTTGTATTGAGATAATAAAA